CGGTGGTTTATAAAGCAGAAGGATAAAAATGTTCCTGTTAAAATACGGCAAATAAAGAGTCTCACATTGAAAGCTTCGTGGTACAGGAAATACCAGGGGTGGTTTCACAGTGCAGGAGGCCGTTTGATGGACGATGCGGAGGGTTGGGGGTGGAGGAAGCTGGCTCGGTTGAGCGGCACCTGATTTGGAAAGGAAGAATCAAAGTTTTGAGGTTTTGCATACCTGCAGGCTTGGATTTCACGGTTTTATGCTTGCTGCAAGAGGATCTAGGAGGTGCAGGGGAGGGCCTCCGTGCCAGTCAGCACGCTGAGCCCGTGGAGAGGCTTGGTGAGGTGTCCAGCTCAGGGCTTCTCTAGAAAGTCCAAGAAGCAAATAAGCTTCTTTAAGGGATTATATTGTGAAAAGCAAGGTCTTGTGGAAAGAGGATTGAAAGGAAATGGGTGTGAATTACAACATAAATGCCTTTGTGTCTTCTAGAGAGCTGCTGCAGCCTTTCCCTTCTCCTTCCTTCCCCTCTTTTTCCACTTGCAGCAATCGTGTGAAAAGTCTGACGGAAGGCAACAGTAGGTAGAAAATTGTTTCTTTATTTGTGTTTTCAGTAGGGCCTTCGCATGGCAGCATTTAGCAAGAAGCTCAGTAAGGGCTAATACCCTACCAAGCCTCCCCATATGCTGGAGCAGATGAAACTTCATGGTTACGCTGGTCCAGAATGCAGGAGGCTTTTAATGCAGGAGCGTCCGAGGCCTTTACAGAGGGAATCAGTGCTCTTGGCTGTGAAATGCCCTATGCAGGTAGGCAGTGCAGCCGTGCGAAGGGTGGGAGACGAGGCGTGGAGGCGGGCTTCACCCAGGGAGAGAGTGGCAGCACTGGGAATATGCCCCGAATCCCGTGCTTGGCATCCCCTTGTTCTTGTTACTAAACGGCCGGCTTCTGCCACGTGAATCAATGAAGCAGACGTTCCAGTGAGATGATGGGACATCTGCCACTCTAATTGCCGCGGCAGATGACAATCATCTACTCTGCTGCCGTTTGTCAAATACGGTTTGTGAGATATTTTGCGTGCTGTCCAGGGAACGGAGGCTAAAGTGTGTATTAATATAGGGTACCCAGTTGTGTTCTCCCTGCATCTGCCTCATGTATTTTTTTGGCACGGTTAACTATGAAACAGTTTTCTTCACCTAAAACTGCGTCTAAGTGCCTTTTCACAGTTCTTCTGATGCTCTGGGGTGAGGGAAGCTTAATATTTGTCTTGGGAGATTGAGTAGCTTCAGATAGGTCTTCTGTTTTGTTTTGATCAGCCACACTGCCAGCAGCAGTGGGGAAAACCCAAAACCTCCTCTTGGTTTCCCTTTGGCTGTGTGGCTGTGGCTGTTCTGAGGTTTGCGGAGGAACCTGGCGGCGAAGCGCTGTGGGTGCCCCTGCCCAGACGTGGCACCTGCGGTGGCAGCAAGCAGCTGGGGCCGCTTCTCTTCCACCCCCGAGCAGGTAGGAAGCCAGCCGGGGAGCGGGCAGGGAGGCTCCGTGGGACCAGCCAGCGTGGGTTCCAGCAGTGCAGCCCTGGGAGGGAGATGTTTAAGGTGAACGAGTGCTTTGTGCACAGAAATACCCGCCGAGCGGACAGCAGCCTGAGGGGCAGGTGTTTTGCAACCCCGTCGAGCCTGGACCCTTGAAAGTGGTTGCGAATACATGTGTGTCAGAGTTTTCCTCCGCTCAGGGATTTGATGTAGTATTGCAGCCTGGCTGGGTCACTGTGGTCAAGTGTCGTGCTGCTGCTGAAATGAATCGGTGTCGGAACTGGTAATAAATCATAAGCAGATTTAGGGTCTTGTCTCTTCTTTCTGGGAAGAGATAAGCAGCTGACTGAAAGCACGCCCGTCTGCTGCAAGCGCCTGGCTGGCTCTCACCAGTCTCCTTACTGGTTTGTCTGTGTAAGTCCAGCCCAGGCAGGAGCGGCGCTAGGGACAGGACGGGGGTCTGCCCTGCGGAGCAGAGGAGAGCCAGGACCAAAACGGCGGGGCTGGGCTGGGGGGCTCTTCCCTCCTGGGGGCTGCATGAAGGGTTCAGGCAGGCATAGAAAGGCTGTTTGAGTTGTAATTCTACTTGATGGCCACGCTGAAAGAAGCATCCCTCTGTGGTGTCTCCTGCCCCTCCCGTGGCCTTGGAAAAGGGGGATGGCTTCCCGCGGGAGTGTAGCGGGAGCTCTTGTCATCCGGCTTTTATTGTGTGTTTTTCTCTCACTGCTTGCTGGTGCCTCAGGTGTCCCCTTGGTTCAGCGAGCGTAAAAACGCATCCGTGTTTGCGGAGGAGGAGGGAGAGCTTTGGAGGGGCGGTGGGATTTGAAAATCCCACGGAATTGTACTTGGGTGCGCTCTGATTTATGGTAGTTTGTTCTAGTTTCGATCTATCAATGAAGGTAATTTAAAGGTCCTAAAGTCTAAAATGAGTTTACAGTCACTTCTTGGCAAGTCAGCAGCTCCAGCAGGCTGAGATGTATTAATAACCTCTCCTCTACATGTAAACAGTCTCACATCGCTTTGGCACTTGGGCTAATGCTGAACTAGAAATTCTCCTGTGCAATGGATGCTGTAAATATTTAATTTATAATTTATTGCTTGCATGGTAAGAGTGCCAAAGAATCTCATGGATGTAGCACAGTACAGCGTTCGGTGATCCAGGGATGTGTGCAGGGAAGCTGTCCCCAGGCTACAGCTGCTGACGGTGCCCGTTCCGCCCAGGGAAAGGCCCCACGGCGGCTGCAGGACCAGTCGCGCTGTTCTCGCAGTCCTTAAAGGACGACTAAGAAGGTGAGGGGCAAAAACCCGTGGGCTTGACAGAGGTGCCTTAAGTAACTCCTTCGGCTCTGCAAACAGTCTGGAAGGTGTTGCTGGATAGTGGGGGAGAATCCAGCCCTAAAGAGAGCCAAACCCCAGAGCCAAGCCGTAAACGCAGCATTTGGAGTCCCTGACGAGCTCGTTTCTTGTCAAAGCAGCCTCGGTCTGCCAGGCCTCAGATGGATGGGAGTGACCTTCAGAAATAGCTGTGCTAATGTTTATTTTATCAGGACCCAGCTTCGAACCAGAGGAGCTGCTGGTTATTTTTAAACCAGGCATTGAGCAACTTGAAGCCTGGCTCAGCAGAGCTGTGTGTAACAAATGCTCTTTAAAGTAGGGCTGTGCATTATCGCTGGCTCTGAGGAATGTTCCTGATGAGGGAAGGTAGTGCTGGGTTCATGCTGTTAACTCCTTCGGGCACCGCTGCTCCTTTGCAGCTGTCTGTGCTCCTTGGACTTGTGTCTCAGGCGTTCATGCTGCCAGAGCTGGGGGCCAGCGTGGTCCCCACTGCTTGCCCTCCCGGCTGCAGGAGGAGGAGAGAATCCCCATCTCCCCTGGAGCTCCTGTCCTGTTCGCACGCCACGGGGTGGGCACTTTCAGTTTCTGTCCCTCGGGAGAGCTGCTCATGGCAGCTGCTCAGCTCTCCTGTGTGGGCCCTCCTATGGCATCCCCACTGCAGCCCTGCGGTGGTCCCAGCTGCATTTTCTGCTTGCATTCAAGAAGAGGACTGAGACATGGTGGTTAAACCTCCACAATGTAAGGGGAGAAGGATCGTGTGGCCATCCTGGAGGGTTGTCTTGAAAGATTTTGTTGGCCAAATAACCTGCTGCCATGCACGAAGCCTAAGCCTGGCAGTGCCCGCCCCAGCCCCTCGCCTGGAGCAGAAGCCGACGCTGCTGCCTGCCCCCGGGCCGGGATGGTGCATGGGCAGCTTCTGCCAGTCCTCCCTTGGGGTGAGCAGAGCCAGGGGGCTGGGACATCTGGCTGCGGACCCCCTACCAGGCTCAGGAGAGGCGAGTAGCTGTGTCTAGAACGCTGCGCATGGAGATTTTACCTGATCTTAAAGATAAACAGAAAGTGAAGCTGGAGGACGGGTTGTCCTGGGTAGGAAATGCTCCCAGCTCCCCATCCTCCCCGGGCCACGGCCAGGGTGGGAGACCCCAACAGCCGCCGGCAGTGTCGGGGTGACTGGGACCAGCCGGGTGCGAGCTCACCGAGCGGGGTCCCCTTGTGCTACAGACTGTCCCCCAGTTTGGGTGGGCAGTGTCAGCCGGGTGCGTCCCCTCTGCCTGGGGCTGCTGTGGATGTGGGAACCCTTGGCTGCAGCAGGAGACGGCCAGTTCTGTAATGCTTTTTTTGGTGTTTGTTTAACAGGGGCAGGGAGGCTCTCAGGATGTGTGGGGGGGGGAAAGCGGGAGGGTTGTGTTCTGGCGTGGGAAGTGCTTATCTTCAGTGGTGCCTTGACCCCTGTTCCAGGCTTGAGACAAATCCTCATCCTCTTCCTGCATCCCTGCGCTCAGCCACCCCTTTTCCTTCCCTCCCAAGTTGGGTTTCTTGTGCTTCAGCTGCTGGCTTGTGCTTTCTCCGGCCATGCTGGCAGCTGCCTGCGGGCAGCCCCGACGAGGGCCTGGGCATGCAAAATCTGTTTGTTTAATTTCCTGCATGGGTTTTCTCTCCTGTTCTTTGTGCACAGTCGCAGCACCG